AATAAAGCTTTGAAAAAGTTTCATAAAAAGGTAAACCTCACATTTCAGCCTTTAAATAAAGAAAATATATGTCAAATTGATAATTGATTAATAAATGATTATATGTATTTTATCTGCTCCATAAATAATTCTAGATAACTTATCTGAATTGTTTAAATGTGTAGAATCCACATAAGCTTGTTTTTCATCAACCGGTCAAAATTTACAGCAGGGCATGCAAATTCGGTCAGTTTTTGTCCAGACAGAAACTGCACACAGGCTGAATGTAAATATAAGTCTCTGTAAATCCACTCGCTGACAGCAGGTGGCGCTTATGGAAAAGCTGAATTAGAGCTGTTTCCCGTAACCTGGACGAAGCAGTATTGCGATTAAGAACCCTTCCTTTAGGTATTCCATGGAGCGAAGATGAAAACAAAATGCCATCGAATCTTTTCTGAAGACAGTTAGAACCTTCAGAGGTACATTCATATAATTAATTCATTCATATATTCATTTGTATAATTCCCTTAGCACTCTTTTAAAACCTCCCAGCTTTGTCGCCCTGTTTTCACTCAAAAAGAAACTACCCTGCGTGCTGCGCGCGCGTGAGACTGTTACTTAAAACTGTGCTTTATGCTGGACAGTATTTATATATCGCGAGTTGTTCAAATCGCGGTAATCTAATACGGTTTTAATGATAATTAAAATATGAAACGGTAATACTAACCGTGGGGAATTTTATCATGAAACCGGTAATCGTTAAATCCCTAGTTCGGACATCACGCATGATTGTGAACCTCCTAAGCTATAGCGGTGTTCCCAGAATGATTGTTTGAGCGACACGTCTACTAAAAACAGCCAGAAGAAGAAAGTACAGCCTCACAGCTAACAATATCATCTGTTTACTTTCAGAAAAGAGTTAGCAGAGAAGAACATACAGACAGCGACAACACAGGACACACATGTAAGCACAGGACTCAGAATGACATGGAAAGGACCGTACCCGCTGTCTCTCCTCGCCTCTGAGTGAATGTTTACAGCTTGGATGCCAAACTGTTGATCCTGCACAAACAAGGAAAGAGATGGTAAAAATGTTTGGTCACTTTTTGACAGCATCTAAAGTTTCAGAGGTGACCTTTATGTGGCACATCTTCAGTCATTCTGCTACAATGTAATTAAAAATAACTATATATACAATTTTATTGAAAAAATTATTAATATTTTATTCAGCAAGGGTGCATTAAATTGATCAAAAGTGACAGTGTAAAGAAATATAATTTGTATAATTCCACAAAAGATTCATATTTCAAATAAATGCACTTCTTTTAAACTTTCTATTCAGCAAAGAATCCTGAAATGAAAGCAACACTGATTTCAACGCTGATAATAATAAGAAATGTTTTGTGAGCAGCAAATCAGCATATTTGTGCAGATCATGTGACACTGAAGACTGGAATAATGATGCTGAAAATTTAGCTTTGCATCAAGGGAATAATTACAAAAAAATTAACATTTTACATTATTATTAAATATGATTTAATTTATATTCATGAACAAAAATCAGTCTTGAGAGAGACTTACAGGTTCTGTGCAGTATCTTGTGCTCTCAAACTACTTAAAGTAATTCATACAGGGTCCATTTCACTCATGAGCAGCGATGCACAAACACATTCCATTATAACAAACAGGAAAACAGTCACAAGTGTGATGAGAAAGGACAACTGTCTCTCTCACAACCAATCAGATTCAGTTAGCTGGATGAAACTTCCTGTTGCAATACTGTGAAGTCTGCTGTGAGCCTGTTGTGAAACATCAGATGTGTGTAACATGCTTTTGTGCTAGAGGTCTGTCACAATCAGTGTGTTTTGTTGTCGGACATACATGCTGTCAAGTGATAAATATACTGTTCATGTTGCATGTCATCTAAAAACATAGGACTCCAAAATGGGCCACAGGTCAGTTCTGAAAAATCTAAAAATGAAAATTAAGGAAATATGACCCAGACTACAATAAATACACAGATAAATATGGTTTGTTCTGACCATAAAGTGTTTCATGGAGAGGATTACTGTCTGATGACGGCACGAAGCAACTGAATACGATATAAACAAAACAAAAAAACAATTCTAGTACTGTGTTAGGTTGTCATTTGATGGCTTGATTGATGAACGCAATTTTCTTTCCTGTGTTGACATATGTCCTATTCAAACAGGAAGATGGAAATATTCTGACAGGGTGTTGAAGTGTCTAAATGTTAGGCTCTCAAATGATTAGCTTAAGATTTTAAGCTATTGCTTACTGTTAATAGATGTACATACTGATTTCAGTGAATTGCATTCATTCACTCAACAGAAACGTGTGTGACTTGTTATAATGCAAAATGAAAAAAAAAAACGTAAAAAGAAATCTGATGCAACGTGAGCAGATATAACATGAATGCTGCGATCAACACTTTTCATTTAATTTTCACATTTCACTTTAATCGCGACAGCAAAAGATTTAGTTTAATTGTGAAGGGGCATTTTTTGCTCCTTAATCTTAAATCTGAGAGGCAATTTTGTCCATTTCAGTGGCATTTCTTCCAGAGAGAGAGAGCACAGTGTTCCAGCGGATGACGAAGGACGTAGGCGGGTTATAATGCAAAATGAAAAAAAAAACATAAAAAGAAATCTGATGCAACGTGAGCAGATATAACATGAATGCTGCGATCAACACTTTTCATTTAATTTTCACATTTCACTTTAATCGCGACAGCAAAAGATTTAGTTTAATTGTGAAGGGGCATTTTTTGCTCCTTAATCTTAAATCTGAGAGGCAATTTTGTCCATTTCAGTGGCATTTCTTCCAGAGAGAGAGAGCACAGTGTTCCAGCGGATGACGAAGGACGTAGGCGTGGCGTAAGCTCTGGTGAGAAGTGACCAACGCAGAATCACAGTGGAGAAAGCAAAACAAAACACCTGTCACGAATTAGAAGTACAAAACGAGGATTTGTTAAGAAAAATGCTGGAGGATTTCAATATAAGCCAAGAGGAAACTGGTTTTCCTTTGCTGTAAACAAAACTTGGTTCTCGCGAGACTAGCATATTTTCACTGGAGTTTACGCTACAGCTACGTCCTACATCATCCGCCGGAATGCCACTCTGCTGAACACGCAGCGTGTACGACAGCGGAAGCTAGAGATTACGGTTTATAAAGTTTTAAATATGGATATTTTTCTTACAGCAGAATCACAGTGGAGAAAGCAAAACAAAACACCTGTCACGAATTAGAAGTACAAAACGAGGATTTGTTAAGAAAAATGCTGGAGGATTTCAATATAAGCCAAGAGGAAACTGGTTTTCCTTTGCTGTAAACAAAACTTGGTTCTCGCGAGACTAGCATATTTTCACTGACGGAACGCCACTCTGCTGAACACGCAGCGTGTACGACAGTGGAAGCTAGAGATTACGGTTTATAAAGTTTTAAATATGGATATTTTTCTTACACAAACGCATTGCTTCACTTCAGAAGGCCTTTATTAACCCCCCGGAGCTGTGTGGAGCACTTTTTATGAGGGATGGATGCACTTTTATTGGACTTCAAAATCTCAACATCCTTTCACTGCCATTATAAAACTTAGAAGAGCCAGGACATTTTTTTTAATGTAACTCCGATTGTATTCGTCTGAAAGAAGAAAGCCAAATACACCTAGGATGGCTTGAGGGTGAGTAAATCAAGGGGTAATTTTCATTTTCCCTATCCCTTTAACAATAACAACATTGCTCAAAGCTACAGACATTAACTAAAAGACACAAAAAAGTATTTCAAGGGATCATTTTGTTACCATTCCAGAACTGTGTGTGTGTGTGTGTGTGTGTGTGGGAGGGGTGTTTCTGTACCTCCAGGACTTTCCCGGTGATGAACTGCTGACAAGCTTCACAATGCACTCCAAACAGGACCTGATAATCGTGCTCACAGTAGGGGGCGCCATCTCTGTGCACATACAGAGAACAAACCAATGCATACCATCATCCATCATTTAGTATGGAATGGATGGATTTTGTGTATAAATGCGTCTTACTTGCTGATGTATTCTCCAGTTAATACTTTGGCACAGGCCTTACATTTAAAACAGCCCAAATGCCACTGACTCTCTAGAGCCAACAGAGCCTGACCATTCTTAATATCTCTGCCACAGCCCGCGCAACCTGAAACATACACACAAATGAAACTCATTTGACTTACTCGATTGATGCTTTTTCATATTAAAAAACATCTTTAAATTCTGCGCATGATTTAAAGTTTCATATGAACAACTCAGTTCGGGCCATTATTTTTGTGTCAAACATGCAAACCATTTTTTTTTAGACTTAAACTTGATCACTATGTCATGAATCAGTATATTGTGAACACAATTTTGGCATTTATCAAGGGTCTTGATCTATTACATCAGGGCACTGATGACTCACACAATGGCATTTATCAACAACATTGCTGTATTACAAACATTAGTGATATCGGTCTGGTATTTGTTTCTTCACATTTTACTTTATACCTTGTAGATGAAAGATGATCATTGGCTTTAGTAGTCAAGCTTAAAGGATTAAAGTGGAAATTCATATTAATTATTTATTATAGTAGGTGGATCCTGGCCAAAAAGCCCCCAAATGCTCAGAAAAGGGAACAAAGAGAGATGAAGTGTTTGAATAATTTACCGTTTCACGTGTATATCCGTGCCAGAGCTTTACAGGATCTTATACAATCACTTTCTTTCCCATTAAGTCACTGTGTGGATGTGGCAGTATGTACTCTTACTATAGTTAATGTATGTTGACGTTTTTTTCCCTTTTTCTTTAATAATGTCTGAGCATGAAGGTAGTTGTGATAAAATAATCTGCTTTATAAAGTTTATGCATATGAATTACATAAATAATTCTTTACGCCTTCTAGATTCTTCAGGTTTTAAATTGAGTAAGATTGTGTCTTAAGTACTTAAACTTAAAAGTTGTAGATATGTGAGATCTTAAATCCTATGGTAAGGTCAAAAAGAAAAGAAATAAAATCAGGAAGTACACTGTGTATAAAAAAAAGAAGCCTATTGCATTGTGATAATATTTTCCCATCCACAATTTTCATTAAAACAATCAGTTCAGATGCTTTAGGAATGAGCTTTTTATTAATTTGATTGGAAATGTGTTTAATTGTCATGAAAATAAAAAACTAAACTATTAATGGCATTTTTTTTCTAGATTTTGGGTTGAAATATGACCCTGACATTTACTTGACCAGTTATGTGCAGTTCACTCATATGGAGGTTTAGATGTGCGGTTCCTGCACTCACTGCTGGGTCCGATGGCGTCTTTGGTAGGTCCTGGAGACATGGGCTCTGCGCAGTACTGACACAGACAGTCCTTGCCATTGAACGTCACTCTGTCTCCAGCAGGAAATGGTCGCCTGTAGGTCATAAAATATACGATCCACGCAATGTCAATGACTGTATAATGTCCAGTGTGTGTCTCTTTGCGAGTGTGTGTGTGTCCGTAGGCTCTTACTTGCAGATTGTGCACACAAAGCATGCTGGGTGGTAGGTCTTTCCGAGTGCAGTCACCACCTCCCCCTCCACAAACTCTCCACAGATGTTACAGCGTGTGCCATGGATGCGTTGGTAATCCAGAGTGCACAGATATTCCCCATTCTTCATGAAGAATCCTCCCTGAGCCAGATCGCAGCCACATACTACAGCAAAACACACATTCTAAAGTTGGTTGTGAATTATTATCAAAATCACGGTGTGTTATATACACTCACTCTACCTAATAATATTGTTTTAAATATTAGAGAATAATAAAATAATATTATATAAACATAAAATATTTAAAGAATAATTAAATGCTTCATAAAGGCATCTGGGGGGGGGGGGAACTACCATGGTTTCCACAAAAATATTAGGCAGCACGTCTGTTTGTAACATTGATAATAACCAGAAATTTTTCTTGAGCGGCAAATCAGCATATTAGAATGATTTCTGAAGGATCATGTGACACTGAAGACTGGAGTAATGATGCTGAAAATTCAGCTTTGATCACAGGAATAAATTACATTTTAAAATACATTTAAATAGAAAAGTTAGTTTAAACTGTAAAATATTTAACAAAATAATTGTTTTACTGTATTTTTGATCCTTATTCACTTCCTTTATACTAGACAGGGACATTTTTTAAACAATCATAGTATATGTTCTGCAGAGGAGTAAAAAAACAGTTGGTAAGTAAATAATGACAAAAGTTTTTAGGGTGAACCTTGATTTTTGTTATAATGGCTTCTTTGTAATACATTTCTGTTCTTGTAACAGGATAATGCATCATAATTGGCGCACTAGAAATAGCAATTGTAAAAATAAACCTCAGTGGAGGACAATGGACAAACCATGATCTTGAGAATACATAATAGTCAGAAACCTTGAAATGTCTAATCTGAACTAATAGCCTATCTTAAACACATTTAGAGCTCATTGTGTTTCATTTTAAGCTCTTAAGAGCTCCTTCACCCACTTTCTATTTAGAGAATGAGCGAGTGGAAGTATAATAAACATGTACAATGTCTATGTAGTATGTGTGCTGTTATGCAACTGACTCTAGTGCTTCTCATAGCCTTCTACATGATCAGCTCTGATAAAATGAGTTCATGCACTGAGAAACTTCTGCAGGGGCCATATGAGGACAACGGCACCCCATAAGTCTCAGAGATAAAGTGAGAGAAATATTATATATATGTTTTTTTTTTTACTGTAGAAAGGTATTAAGTGCACCTTTAACACAAAAAAGTGACACAGTTATTTAAAAATATTCACCCCAACATCCTTAAGTTAACCTGCATCTCAAAAAACGTACCACAACCAATATCAACCTAAAGGGAATAAACAACATGACAGCGTCTCCTTTGAAAATGTGAAAATCATCACTGAAACATTTGATCCGATGAATAAATGAAAAAGTAATGGACTTGGTAACAACGTCCTTTGGCACGATTCCTACAAGCAGACTTTCATCTCTGGATGACGCAGACACAAAATAATACATTAAAACTAATATTCAGATATTAAACTTTCATTCATTCTAAGGAGCTGGTAGTTTTAACTTTAAAGTTTAAACTTTAAAATCACATGCATTTAAAAGCGTTTAAGACATTTTAAAATGATTATCTAAAAATTATCTAAATATAAACACTTAAACATAGATATGCAATTGAAAAACTAACCAACAAATAGAATGCATTAATTTAACTTTCTGAGATTTAGTGACTGTATTACTTCACATATGTGTTAATAAGTAAAAAAAATATTTAAAGTGTACCTCTTATTCTTCAGAAACCACTTTCTTAAAATAATAGTTCACCCAAAAACTTAAATTAGCTGAAAATGTACTCACCCACAGGCCATCCAAGATGTAGATGAGTTTGTTTCTTCACAGGAACAGATGTAGCATTGCATCACTTGCTCACCAACGGATCCTCTGCAGTGAATGGGTGCCGTCAGAATGAGAGTCCAAACAGCTGATAAAAACATCACTATAACTGACAAGATTCCAGTCCATTAGTTAACGTCTTGTGAAGTGAAAAGCTGTGTGTTTGTAAGAAACAAATCCATCAAGATGTTTTTAAATTCAAACCAGCCCTCAATGCATATTGCTTTCTCCGGTGCAAAAGACATCTTGTCTGAATCAGGAGAGTAATATGCACAGATCAAGCACCATTTACAGATGAAAACAGTCCAAAACAGTTCTAAACAAATATGTTGGTGGATGTTGATGTGAGAGGACTTTTTCACTGATGGAAGCATTATTATGGATTGTATTTTGGACAGAAGTTATGGTTTAAAGTTTAAGCGTCTTAATGATGAATTTGTTTCTTATAAACACACAGCTTTTTGCTTTACAAGATGTTAATTTATGAATTGGCGTGGATTACCTGTGAATTATTGTGATGTTTTTATCAGCTGTTTAAACTCTGACGGCACCCATTCACTGCAGAGGATCCATTGGTGAGCAAGTGATGTAATGCTAAATTTCAACCAAATCTGTTCCCATGAAGAAACAAACTCATCTACATCTTAGATGGCCTGAGGGTAAGTACATTTTCAGCAAATGTTCATTTCTGAGTAAACTATTCCTTTAATATATATTAGCTTAGTGCACATGATTCAATGATACATCACATTACGGAAGTAAAGCAGGCTGTGAGCAGGTTGCTTACAAATGAAGAATAGAATGATCTAGTTGGTTTATGCTACTCTGAAGTGATTCGATGATTAGATAAGCTGATTATTATTACACAGACTTACATTAAGGATGGCATAATCCCTAAAGGGTGTTGAACACAAAGTAGATGATTAGTTCTTACACTGATTATCTGCTCAGATTACTACAGGTCATGTTCAAATTCAAATCTAATTTCTGTGTAGTTTGATCAAGAGTTGACAGTAAAAAGATTTTAATATCTCATATTCATTATCACCTTGCATATATATAATTCAAGAACTGTTAAATCCCTAGTCCAAAAATAGGCCCGCTGAGTCACTCTTTTTCTATCTCTCCCTCAGTCAGTGTCATTGTCTCTGTGTCTGTGATGTATTAAGAGGCCACAGTAAGGTCACAGGTCAGAGAATGACATGAACTCAGTCCTGTGTGAGAAATAAAGGGCTGGGCGAGATATTAAATATTCAAGATATACTTGAGATATTTCTGCCCCAACTGAAGCTAAAAGTGAAACAAAATAAACAAACAAACAACTATCAGTCCACTGCAAAAGTAACGTACAAGTAATATGTTACTTTTTAAGTAAAGCAATTATTTAATAATGTGACATACTACTTTTAAAAGTAATTTTTTAAACGTGTTCCCCAAGAAAACCAACATTGGCATGTGCTTCAGTGTGACAGAATGCAAGCATTCAACAAACTAAAATAACATAGAAAGTCATGTTTTCATATTTCAACATGTATCATTTAGCTCAGTGACTGTTAAAAAAATAACAACTACTACTTGTTATTATACAAGGTTAATATACTGTATACTTACAAAATAAACGTTTGGACACACTTGATTGAATTATGTTTTTTTTGCAAATTAGTTTTGTAGAAAACTACAATTTTATTTCATTTATTTTTTGAGTTGGAGCAGTGCAGGAACAACTGTCCACCATACATTTGAACTTCTATCACGTTTTGATCACCACATCATTTGCATATTTTGTGTTATTTCATAATTTTGATGACTATTAATCTAAAATGTGAAAAATAGTAATAATAAATGTCCATACTTTGACAGGCCGTGTATACATGTGCAAGGTTACTTCCATTAATTAATCCCTTAAATTTGTCATGTGCAACGTACTAGATGTGACTGTGTCAGTCAGATTTGTGCTGCACTCACAGAGCAGATCTTACATCATAATGCCGCTCTCTCTAATTGAAGTGGGACAGCAGGACAGAGGGAAAGTCTCTGGGTTAATTGGATCGCAGCTCAGACATGACAGGATTTACTTCGTGATGTAGGACTGTATTGTATCCAGGTCTACGTGACTCAAGTGTTGCTGACAAAATAGTCAGCATAATCTCGAGTGTTTTGTTAAAAGCAGATGGATTTGGTGGGCTTACTAAATGAAGACCCTGAAGTGATATGGTAAATCATGACACTATACCAGTAAGTTCAACAGAAAGCACTAAAGCAAGAAAGGCAGTCTGGATGTCACCTAATGACCAAACTTTCACACACACACACACACACACACAAAGTACTGTACAATAATGTAAGAACTCACCACTGAACTGTTAATTTACCTCCTGGTCAACAGGTGGCGCCTCCCTCCAGGTTCCTACTGATTTCTAACATTCATTAAGCCTGATGTGAGACACCTGTGTTTAGCCCTATATAAGTGGGTTAGGCCATGCTTTATTGTTCAGTCTTGAGCCTATGTTACCAGTTGCCTGCTGAAAGTTAAGTCTGTTCTGTTGAAGTTCTTTGACTCTAGTTTCTGCTTTGCTTTTCTCTGTTTTTGGAAGCTCTGCTTCTTTTGTTTTTGTTGCACCTTTTCTTCAGTAAAGATTGCCTTTTGCTGGAGATCAATGACTCCCTGTTTTTTGCTACCTCTGCTCTTGGATTCTTTAATTGGGGAGTTAGCTCAATCAGTAGACTCAGTAACTTTGAATGTGAATTTTAATTTTTTTTTATTTCCCCCCCATCCTACAAGAATCATAGAGATGTCTTGTATGTAACAGGGACTGAGGGTTTGTGTATGTGCATAATTGTGATATTAATTCACTCACCTTTGCACGTGAAGCACTTGATGTGGAAGTGTTTGGCCTGCACTCGTAACACCTCTCCCTTGCACACCTCCCCACATTTAGCACAGCGTATCAAAGGCTTCTCCGTCTGGTGGTGAGCTTCCTGTGTATGGGCCACTTGTATAGGAAGAAAACAGAAGGTAACATGGTCTGTAACAGTACTGCAACAGTGCAAGTATGTGTGGAATATGAGCTGCTTGTGTAGAGCTACTGCATATAAATACAATATTCCGTTCAGTAACACAGTCCATTTTAGTTTATATTACAAAAGCGAGCTTAAGTACACTACTATGCAAAAGTTTATGGTCAAAGTTTATTTATTAATTTTTTTGCAAAGATGCATTAAAATGATTAAAAAGTGCAGTGAAGATGTTTCTAATGTTAAAAGAATATACTAAAATTCTATTTCAAATAAATGTTGTTCTTAGGAACTTTCTATTCATCAAAGGATCCTGGAAAAAAAAAAAAAACAGTTTCCACAAAAATATTAAAAGGGTGGTTGACTGTTTTTTTTCTAAGCTTGATTGTGTTTATGGGGTGCAGTCTAACATGTTAATGCTTCGTTTAAAAAAAAAAAAAAAA